CACAATATAACTATATAATAACTGTTGGCATTAGGTAACACGGTGGCAAATTCCGCAACTTATTATTTTAGATTTTGTTATTACTATTGTGAGTATTATTTAAAGTTTATTATATCTCCATCAGTAACAAGTACTTAAGTTATTTGTTGTATAAAAAATGCTTAGCAATCAAGCTACTAATTAGTTTTGCGATAGTATCCGACCATGGCCAGACAAAATTGTTTTGTTATCTAAACGAAAAATCATCACATTTTATTTTAACTATTTTTAGATAATTTTTACACTTTTTAGTTTGTGTCCCGTTTTGCAGTTACCGTTTTGGGCTTAGGCTGCGACATGTTGTCGATAAATCGTAGCACGCTGATTAGGCTTTAAGGCAAATTGGATTCTATAATTTAAGCCGATTTACGCGCTGCCAATATATATATATAATAATAGCCGAATGTCGCGATCAGAGCCGTTGAGTGCGAATAGTTCAGAGCCAAGCGCGACGCGCAAATGTTAAGCAGAGACTGGCGCGCGACAAGGCCAGGTTACTTCATTTACCAAGTCCAAGTCCAACGACGACTGTCTCTGCGTCTGCGTAAGCGTCGCCAGCGTCATCAGCGACGACGGCGACGACGACGGCGACGGCGTTCTGCGCAAAATGAATTGTAAATTGAAGGTAAATAAATAACGGCTAAGTAAAATGTTAAATGTAGAGGCGTTGAAGCTTTGAAGCTGCTAAGTAGCTGCCGGTGTCTTCAAATGACAGCAGCTAATAATAATATTCATAATATTATTGATATTAATTGATCACTAGGTCGTTGGGGCCGGGCCAAGTCAGCGCGGGTTCAATGCTATCGACATGCTGCGCCCCTAGAAGCGCTCCAACACCCGCAGCAGATGCTCAGCTCACAGGCATTTACATTTAGAAACAACAAGGTTTGCTTGTGTATTTTATGCTTTTACGCGCAATGATGTCAATTTTATTATTATTGCCCAGATAAATACATAAGAGTGAGAAAGAGAGAGTGAGAGGGGAAACAAAACATACGTTGAAATGTTTAATTAGCAAATATTTGCGCTTTGCTGAAGAACTGTTTGGTTCTGCTTGACTATTGTCTCTGGCCAAATTATAATAAAAATTTCTATGATTTGTGGTATTATTAGCCTAGCTGATTGGCTACTTTGAATTGACATTGATGAGCTTCTGCGACTGTTGATTGCAATTGAACGTTGCTCGCTGTAAGCAGAAGCGTTTATTGAATTTGAGATTTATGAATACGAATGACGTGGAAACCCTTACGAAACTTTTGCTTCGGTCGT